TAATGCCATGATACAAACAAAGAAATGTTTCCATTTTTCCAGCGACGTTTTTGAAAATATTAGTTAGGGAAAGTCATATTAGAGATTGGTGTATGTTCACATTGTGGGATTCTTAAATATAGAAAGACTCTGCACTCTGCCCCCTTACATTCATATTTTTTCATCCTGGATACAGTTTGGGTCCTGTTTCAGTAACAAGGATGTAAAGTTCCATTTACATGCACCTTCACTGCTTTTTTTCAGGATATCATTTAGAGATATGATATTTCAAATTGTACTGATGATACCTTGTTTGTGTAAGGAAACATCTGCAAGAAAACAACCAAGTTCAGGGAGCACCAAGGACCTCTTTTTTCAAATCTAAATGTCAGACAAAAAACCAAAGTGAAGTGAGAAAAATCAATGAAATAAAACTGTACTTAGATGTAGGATCTTTTTAACATCTTTCTTCTCCAAAGGTGAAGTAAGGACCTATCTGTTAATTCCATCAAACAGGATTGCTCAGTACAAGTGAAAAATAAATCACAGGGTGAATTCCAAGAAGTAAGAAGCTCCATTGTTCTTAATTAGGTCATCAGGAAGTTATATGAAAACTATATTATACGCCATGAGGTTTTGTAAAGAAAGGATTTAAATCTAACTCCAGGAGATACAGCCTTAATTACCTCTTTGTGTAGTTGTAAAAATAAGGAATAAATATTTAATAGCCATACAAAAATATGTTTTCCCAGTCTGGATAGATTGCCTTTAAGTGTTTTATTTAAAGTTCGGTCAAGAATTTTGGATTAAAACCTAATTCAAAAATGAATTGTTAGAATGTTCAATTCAGTACATAGCACTATTGACTAAATAAAGAAAAGCTGACTGCTACATCATATGTTTCCCTTCAGCCAATCAATTCAGTTTAAATCTGTCTGAAAATGAATTCTCCAGGTTAGAATACAACTCCAATCATTCCTAACCAACATCATCAGTTTGATATCTGACTAAAGAAGGCTGGTTTACATTATATGAAGAAACATTTTAGAAAATGAGGGGATTAAGCTTACAGGAAGAAAGGCACCGCTTTTAAAACTCCAGATCCAGATTTATTGTTCCTGACCTCTCAGTTAAAACTGAATCAGTCAACAGATGACAAGTAAAATCTTGAAGGCCCTAGAAAGCTTTTGCTAGTTAGGGTGAAAGGCACTGGACTCCATAGACAAATATTTTAATATATATGAAGGAAATAGTAATCAAATCAACATTTTTCACTATCCTGTTCACTGAATGTGAAGCACATGGTGTAGATAAGGACTGTGGTTTAGTGCAAGACAATCCTTTGCAACTTGGCAGAAATGCCATGTTCAAATAACAGCATCTGATCTCCAATTCTCAGATTTTTTAGCTGTAGCTAATCTGAGAATTGAATACATCTGAAAGTCCTCCAGGTTGGGAAACATTGCTTCAGAGTATTTATTATGTATGCAAAAAGCCCTAAATTGAATCCCCTTGAAGTATAACTTATTCTTCAGGAAAGCCAAAGATTTTGAAACTATAGAGTGCTGTTGCCGGTCCCCAGCTAAGCTTGCAGATCCTGTTCAGCCATCAAATGGTTTTGCTTGTTTTGACTCAGCATGCCTGCAAAGCATAAGTTTGAGTTTTAACATTTTATGGGAATCTTGGGATTTGTGTTTTATTTAGTAAATTGGGGTTTAGCACACAGTATATGAATTCATTGCAGACAATATAGTATGTATGTAAAACAGGCTGCAATTAAACTCCCAGCTTCTCTCTGGCTCTCAGAGCATCCATGGAGTGGCCAATCCCAAAACAGTTGGCCATTTTTAGTTTATTGTAGAGGGGTTTGAGAAGGAAAATCAAACCCACAAAGGACTGAAAATGTTGGGCCCTTCCATTTTGGCAACATCATGAAGTCATTGATCTCATTCTTTGCAGCTCTTGGAAATCCCAAAAATAATATTTTTTTTAAGTGCAGTACCAATTGCAAGAAAGTTGCCTTTCGCTTTTTTTGTAGCAGAGCCAAGCTCTAGAACAGTCCAACCTGTACAGATTAGTCTAATGCAGTGTTTCTCAACCTTGACAATTTTAAGGCATGTGGACTTCAACTCCCAGAATTCCACAGCCAGCAACGCTGGCTGTGGAATTCTGGGAGTTGAAGTCCACATGCCTTAAAATTGTCAAGGTTGAGAAACACTGGTCTAATGAGAGATTTATTAGAGATTTATTCTAAGGAACAAAAAAGTATTATTCAAATGGAAACTAATATTGAAATGAAATCATATTTCTCCCAAAAGGTAGGTCCCACCTCTGAAGCTGCTGTCTTTATTAATTTGTTCCACTGAACTTCAGCCTAAGGAGCAGTAAGAATAAAACAAAATGGATTCATCTAGCACTGCTCACATATAGCACCAACAATCTGGCATTATCCGGTTGATTCTACATGAAGTTTTGCATCAGTTTAAAATCAGCTCTAAAGCCATTTGATATCACATGAACTACGTGCAGGAGCTAGGCCAATTGCTTTCTGGCAGAATAGCAGTGTATTTGAAATAGCACCCAAGCTAAAGTTTTTGTTTCCATTAGGATCTGCAGATCTTGTAGACAGGCTGATTTCTTACTGGTTGGAATCCTTGTGTCACTGTGATCCTGGCTCTTATTTCATTGCTTTTCCAATGGACAAAAACTGTGGTTTGACAGCTTTCAAATGCTGCCTCATACCAACCACATAAGTTTTCATCCATCTGTGACATCAATAAAAATGTGGCTAGGCAGACCATACTAAGATATTTTCTTTTCCATTCTGTTTAGGAAGAATGGGAAGATACACATAGTTCTCAACTTCCAACAGTTCATTTAGTGAAGTTACAATGGCACTGGAAAAAGTGACATGACCATTTTTTTACACTTGTTCCAACACCCCCATGGTCATGTGATCAAAATTCAGGCACTTGGGAACTGACTTACATTTATGACCGTTGTAGTGTCCCGGCATCACCGGATCACCTTTTGCGACCTTCCGACAAGCAAAGTCAATGGGAAAACCAGATTCACTTAACGTGTTACTAATTTAACAGCTGCAGTGATTCATTTAAGAAAAGCTGAATACCATTTTTCTCTGCATTTTTTTCATTGTGAGGTAGACCAGAGACTAGAGACATCACTGGTTGGCTTCAAACTTTTTTCAAAAAAGTGTGGCTTGAAGATTGTTTTCTGATTGTATTTGTTTTGATTAGTGTGCACATGTGGCTTTTCTGTTTTCAAATTTGAACTTTCCAGGAAGAGAATGAACTGGACAATATCTAGAGCTGCTGCACTGGCAGTAACACTAATTGCTCCGACTTACTATTTTCAACCTATTTCCTTTCAACTCTGAATGTCCAAGTATCCAATACATATCAAGGTAAAACAGGAAGCATATCATCTATAATCAGATTTTATTTTCTTTTGAGAAATGCAAGGATACATTTATCAAAAGAAAAGTGTATGTGTGTCAGTTTCCCCCATTCTTATTGTGGAACTTCTAAAAGAAATAACTGCCTCTTTTCTTTTGTTAAAATATAATTTTGTTCAGTGCTTTCAAAGATTATTTTTTCCCTGGTTTTAATTTATCATATTTATTCTTTTTACAATATTGGTTTTCTGCATTTCAATTTTTATGATGCCATTGGGATGCTTCCTGAGCTGAAAAACTAACTAACTAGCATGACTTATGTTATCTTAGATATTAAGTATAAGTAACACTACTTACACAAGTAGTGCTATTGCTTGTGGGAAAGAATCTAATCCCACAGATTTATATAAGTATTTTAATTACTGACCTGGGAATACTATCCACATTTCAGGAGACATTTATTTATTTTTCATTCAATTCAATTTATTCTGCCTGTCTCAATAAGGAACTCTGGGCAATGAACAAAATTAAACATAAAAGTAATTACAGCCAGACAAAAATCAAAATGCATAGCTGAGAATAAACTATACACCATAATCACTAATATAACCAAGAAACAAGGTCCCTGAGTACACTTGGTATCACAGGCCTGAGCACAGAACCAGTTAATTAAAAGATAGTGAGGTGAGGGCCATCTTGATATCCAGAGGGAGAATGGTACATGGGATGGGGGCTATGGTAGAAAAACCACATCTTCTAGACCCCACCAACTGGCATTCCTTAGCTGATGGGCCCTAAAGCATACCCATCCTGCTTGATTAGACTGGACAGTTGGAATCAACTGAGGAAAGACAGTCCACAAGTAATCTATCCCAAACCATGAAGGGCTATAAAGGTGACAAACCAGCACCTTGAACTGTAGCTGGAAGCACACTGGTTCCTAATGCAGCTCAGAGTAGTGGTGTTACATGTGCCAAGGACCCAGTGCCATTTACTACACAGGCTGCTGCTTGTGTAATAAACTTCTGAGTGCTGTTCAAGGGCAGCCCCAAGTGGAGCAGATTGCAGTAGTTCAGATGTGATGTCACGATTTTCAGATTTTTATGGAAAAGGAAAGGAAAGGAAAGAGGCACAAGGGAAAAGGTCATAAAATTGTTTCCATTCAGTGAGCCTTTGGTTGATTCAAAGTGCCTGCATTATTTGTTGTAATTTGCGATTATTGTTTTTTGGATCATTCTAATGGTGATACTTTAGGTTTGCTGGAGTTGGATGATCTGGAAATAGTATTGTTTTTGAAAATCAGAAACTTTGTATTATAGTACTTTTAAATTTCAATGGATAAAACCTTTGCGAATGTTCTGTTAGCTAACCAGGGCCTGTTGGTCTGCAAACCTAGTGAACAAAGTGAAAAGAACACATCACTTGTATTATATTCTCCAGAGAAGTCTTGTAGATGGTCTCAGTGGTGTATAATGCCTTTTTTGATCTGTTGATAACAACAGACAACAACAGCCCTGTTATAGTGTTGTCAGAAAACAATTTCATTTTCTCAACAACTTCTGTAAAAGTCCCCCCAAATAAGTCTTTTAAAGATAACAACAACAAGAAGGTAGGTGATTCATTCATTCCATAAATTACTGTTGTGCAAGAAAACATAAGTGTCTTTAAAAAAAAAAGATTCTGTGGTTTACAGGAAAATAATAGCATTCTCAACACATGAATTTCCATTATAGAATTTGTGGCAAGTTCCCTAAACAGCAACTTGTTTACTATGGGTTAGAAATTCTGACTTGTGCTTTATTTGCACTGGAGGGAGCTTATGATATCTTTTGTTTAGCTAAATAAAAACACAAACTAACTCCCAACCAGTTTAGGCTCTCTTGTCAGTCTCTGATGAAAACTGAACTGCAAGGCTCATATAAGAGCCACTCCAAATTATATGCCTCACATGCTTTCTATAAGAGCATCTGCATTTACTGTCACACATCTGAAGCATTATTTCAGTTTGCTGCCACTGAATTGTATGAGCTGGATCTGAAATTTCAGTCCTGTCAAGGTTTGTAAATGCATCTTCTTCTCCAGACGTAGCCTGTATATATGGATTTGAAGTACTTTTGAATATGCAGTTGTTTTTCTTGCTAACAGCTTGCTAGTCTTAATTGAATGGTGAGTATTGTGGAAGCTTGACTAACTGGTGCAGCCTTGCTCCTTTTCCTGCAAAAAATAGATAAAATTGGGTAATTAGATGTACATTAAAATATGCAGATGAAATGATTACTAAATGGTTAGTATCCAGTTCAATTTAATTGGATGTAAGTACAATTGAATTCAATGGATTTACTCCCCTCAAAAGATGTGATGTTTGTCATACTGTATTCTTATGGATAGTCTGGTTAGTTATGGAATGACTAAGTACAGAAGATTAAAAAATTGCCTATCTATGTTCTATCTTATACTAATAAGGAAAGTGGGTGATATTTGTTTCTGTTTCAGTGAAACTTCTTTTTCTTGCACAGCATGATTTTGGAATGAATAACTTCCCTCTTAAGTACCAACTTTAATGTAGTCATGAGAACCTTTAATTCTCATCTAATAAAGCAGCAAGAGGCCCTGTTTTGATTCAATAGCTACTTGGCTATAGAAAATCCAGAAAATTATTAAATAGGCAATATTGTATTCACAAATATGAAAGGTAAGAATGGGAACCCTTCTCCCCTCCAAAATTATAAATCAATTATTGCACAAAAGCTCAGTACTGGAAAGAATGGTGCATGTATGAAGATGCCAGTATGTTGTTAATGGTGGGGAAAATCTAAAGTGCATGTAAGACAGTCCCAAAAAGATATTTATAAATTGGGTAAATAGGAAATGTCACTGAGGTGCATTGTAAGTAGTAACAAAATGATGCATATAGGGTGGGAGGTAGGGAGTCTTAAGTTCTTATTTATCCTAGACCATGACTTAGGGAAGACCATCTAATGAGGAGACTATGGCAGAAGCATATTGAAAACCTCAGCCCAGTAGCAATACCACTTAGACTTATATACCACCCCATAGTGCTTTATAGCACTGTCTGAGCAGTTTACAATGTCAGCATATTGCCTCCAACTGTCTGGGTCCTCATTTTACCGACTTCGGAAGGATGGAAAGCTGAGTGAACCTTGAGCTAGCCAGGATCAAACTCCTGGCTGTGGGCAAAGTTTGCCTGCAAAACTGCATTCTAACCACTGTGCCACTATTGCTCAATAGGGTATCTCCCACATATATCTAAAGGACCAAAGATTTATTGACATGAGTGAACAATTGTTTAAAACAGGTAGTCAATGTGCTGGAAAGAGAGCTTAAGTTTTATTCTTATACATTTTAAAATCTGTTCTTTTTCACTTCTTTTAAATTGGTATTATGGAATGCCAAGAGTGGGACTGAGGTAGGGATGGGGGGTGGCAGGAGATATAGCCACATTTTGACCTAAATTACTACAGTATCTGAAATCAAGTACTGCTATTTTTCCCTCCAGGCCATAAGACAAAAATGTTTTCGATATTTTTTTCAGTACAATTATGCCTAATTATCAGAGACTGCTTGGACAAGTCACTGCAGTTTTCTTGGCAAAGTTTTTCAGAAGTGTGTTGCCATTGCCTCTTTCTTAGGGTTAAGAGAAGGTGACTGGCCTAAGGTCAACTGGATGGCTTTGTGCCTAAGGTGAAGCTAAGACTCACTGTCTCCAAGTTTCTAGCCTGATACCTTAACCACTACTTCAAAGTGATTCTATCTTTCTGATATAGCTAATATGAAACTGGGTACAGGGTTATATCTGCTATAGACTATCTTAGTTTTCTTTTCCTGAAGCAGATTGCCATCTGTGCCCTTTCTTTCAAGGTTATGCTATAATGAAATTAACTGCTTCTTGACCTTCTATTGTGTTGCAGAACAATCAGATAATAACAAGCTGGTTTCACTGAATTAGCTCTGAACATTTTTGTTTATTTTTTAAATGAGTGTCATTCAAAGCATCACATTTTCAATTAAATCATATTTTCCGGTTCCGCACTATCAGTTTAGTAGGCGGATAATTTAGGCTTTAGGCAAGATGTTCTTTTGTGTGAAAGAATTTAGAGCTCAAATTGCACTCCATCCTTCCTTATGAATATAGCATTCTTAGAATATTTTTGATTATGGAAAGATTATGCAGTTGGTTTTTTAAAAAAAACAGTTAACAATCATAATGGAGCTTTATTAAAATATTTGGATCTCTACTGAAATATTTGCACTTAGGAAATATTCTGAGTGCACAAAACTTTCAGGTTTTTGACAACATGGATAGCCAAACAAGCAGAAAAACAAACCAATCATCAAAAATGAGTAAGAGGATTAGGAATAAATATTAGCAGTGATGAAACCTTATCTGCATCAGCTACAGATGGAATGAGGAAGAATACAAATATACAAAATGGGTCTGTCAGGTGCAGAAATGATATTAAGTTTAACCCAGGTTTTTCCAAAAAATAAGGAAATGTATCTGAAGCTTTTTAAACAATACTTTTTTTAGTATTTGCATCATGCCCAGTGACCTGCTTCACCCCTGATGGTTAAAGTTTGATGTACTGAATAAAGTGCTATCACCTGAGTTCACAGATCACACTAGAATGAAAACCAAACTTATGACTTAGCATAATATGTGAACCTGGTATGTAAATATATGTTTCTTGTTAATTTCTTCATTACATAATCTTTTTCATTGCAGAGATATAAATGATCACAGACCAATAACAGATCTCTATTTTTTCCTAAACATAAACAAGCATCCTTAATGGTAGATGGCATATGGAGGCAAATAATGAAACATACATCAAGATGCACAAACTGAAATTTACATACTTGCTTTAGACTTGGACATAAGTATGCAAGAGCACTGTTATGAAACCACTGTAAATGTCCTTATTTTTGCAACCTCAATCTGTTGTAGACATCTATGCCTATGAGGTTTCTGGGGTTCTGTTTACTTTGTACTGGGGAACTCTTTGGGGAAAATCAACTTTTTATCTTCTCCACATTTCATTTGTGGATTTTTTTTTCACCTCTCAGGTTTTTATTACTTCCTCCATCCTCTATCTCCCATTTTTTCAATCCGTGGCTTAAGGAAACAAAATGGTGATGAGAAACAAGCATGGCACAAAGAAGAAAATACAAAACAAAAAACAAGTAATCGTATTTTCACACCAGCAAAACGTTATCTTCCAACAGATTTTCCAGCTGAGGTTGAATTACTTGGACCCCTTCAATTCTAAAACTTAGCCTTAGGACAACTGAGCTGTTCTTCTTGCATTGTAAAATAATATGATGCTTTGAAAAGGTGTCCTTTATAACAACCATAAATATGAAGTCATTTCAAATGGCAAGTTTCTGTGCTGAAATCTGCTTATATTGCATTACTGTTCACACAACATGCCAAACTCTGACTTTTAACCATGATTTACTAAATAAGCCTCAAGAGTGAATTCTTTTAGCATTCTAAGTCTTAAAATTTGATTAACAAATCATAATGGCTAGGCTCATATAAAACAAAAACATTATATTGTATAACTTATTTATTGATCTGGAGCCACATTCCCAAAAAATAGTATATTGGGCAAAGCAATAAATTAATTTGTATTCATTTCACTAAAATACTAATTATTATATTAGTTTAATTAATATAATTATTTCAAAAATGTTTGTGTCGCAAATACAAACAACTGTAATATAGTAGCAATGGTTTACTATTGGTATATAAAAGGTTGGATTCACAGAATACATTAAATTAAAACCACACAAACCATTTTGGCTTAGTAGGGTAAGAATTCATTTGTTTTGTTAGCTTAGCCTATAGAATGTCTGCAAACTTATTTTCATGTGGAAAATATAGTGTTGATTTCTGATTCTAATAAGCAAACAAGAAAGTAAAATTGAAAAATGGTATTGTTCTGATATTCACAGAACTATGATTATTTAAGTCTGGTGTCATGTGGAGAAATGAAAGGAATAAGGTGAAATGCTCCCTTTTTAAAAAAAAAAAATTAGCGGGGTTATTGTAGCACTTTCCCCCACCTTTATTTGCCCAATCAAAATGTCAATATATTGTTTATTCTTCAATATTTCTATTTCTCCTTCAAGGAGCTATAAATGCACTCTTCAGGTCACTTGCGTATTTCAGTTTAGATTCTCCTAGTCCCAATATGATTATTTTAATCCAGTTATTCAGTGTGAGTCTTCTTCCAGAAGTTTTTGATTTCAAATAGATCCATGGAGAGCAATCATTCTAAATCTAATCACAATGCTATTTTTTCTATATCCCTGGCAAGGAATACACCTATCTTAAATTGTTTAGACAGAGATTTTCACTTTATAGTATTGTACAGCAATAAATACCAGTTCTATGTGGAGACTGGGTTTTTTTGTTATAGATAATATATATCACTGCCCATCTAACAGAACTCTGAAGAAGCTATAACATACTAACGTGTACTGTAGACTTGGGATATGTTAGAAGTAAGTCTTCATCCTGGTTCATCCAAGCCGGGAATAAATAAGCAAATATGGAGACTGCTTTGGGAAGAAAGTTACAGTTTATTGCAGAAAGATGGTTCTTCAGGAAAGTGCAGAGGAGAGAAGCGTGAGCATATGCGGTAGTTGGTTTTTACACTCCCTCTAGCCTTTTGTTTGGAAGTTTCCTGTTCCTGTGGCATGAACCTTGAGGCTGTTCTGAGTGTTTGTCTAGGCCTTGATATCTGTGGTTTTAATTCTATTATCATATCCTGCTTCCCAGGTGATGGGGCTAATGACTCCTAGAGTTTGGGTGGGGTATGCAGATCTTCTCTTTTGTCTTCTTGATTGCTCTGGCTCCAACTTTCTGATGGTTTTACATCTGCATTTGTATGGGCCTAGCTCTTGCTTGGGGCAGAGAGATAGATTTGGGGCCAGGTTTGGTTTTAAAAAGTCCTTTTGAGGAAAAATATATTTTTCTGCCCTTTTTAATATTTCTTTCTCTGGGCTAACTTCCCTCAGATACAACATTCACTATATTAGAATAAAATAGTTGTGCAGATCCAGAGCAGCTTTCCTTCATTGCCAAGTATCCATTTAAGACTTTTGGAAACCACTTCTAACATGCGAGATGTGAAAACGCACCTATATAAACTAGAATCTGGATTGTAAATACTGAACACTTGTAAGGTTTTATTTATTTTAAAGCTGTAATCTGTTGTGAAGCTACCCAGAGTTTTTTCAGAGTAAAATGGACAGCATATATATAAAGCTTGCTGTGAAATTGCTTATGGGATGAGGCTGCAATGCCCCTGCAGGTCAGGCTGGCCAATGGATAATTCAGGACCATAATGCTCCAGAGAAAAACTTTCCTCTAGATTTTCATAAAAATTAACCCCTTGTGACATTTAGATTCGCAAACTGTGGCATAATTTTTAAGAAAACACTTCACCTGATGCATTTCCTCAAGGACTCTTATCCTCAGCCTGCATAAGAGAAAACCTTTATTGACATTTTTTACTGTAAGCACACGTTAAAAATAAAATTGTTGCCTGCTCCACAATAAAATCTGGGAATGTCTCGAAGTTCTACTTCGTGAGTAACAAGCCGACCCCATACCCAGCAGTTGCCGCCATAAAAACCACTGGATTTAGCCGCTTGGTGCTAAAGAAACCTGTCAATCTTGAGCTTGAGGGGAACCTCACTCCAAATACGCAACACTCGACGTGAAGAATAGGAATGCTACAAAGATCTATCATCTATATCCCGAAGTGATGCTACTTTACAGGTGGGCTTGTAGCTGCACTGTGTTGCAAAAGGCTGTCACGCATACCGCTTCTGGAACCATCTCAAAGCAACCACCCACAAGTAGATTCCTGCGATTCGCGGAAGAATTCCGGATGCCTTTCAGAAGCGCAACAGAAGGACCCGAGTCGAAGGAATAGCAGCAGTGGCCGGCCAATAGGAGCGAGCCTTCGCCTTGTCCCACCCCGTCTGCGAGCCTGGCCGGGCACGGCTAGTTCGCCGACTTTCTCTAACCGGTTTCCACCGGCTTTCTCCGCCTTTCCTTCGCACCGCCCTCGCCTCGCGCCTCTCTATAGCATTCTTCTTGGTCTTCTCCCCCTCCTCAGCTCTCCGCCCACTGCCACACTCCTGGCCATATCGGCTCAACTCGCCCGAGCCCTCCGATTGGTCGTGGGTGGTGCCATTCGGCGAAAGGTGTTTGTGACGCCAGGCCGCCGAGCTTTGAAGGCGTCAGCTAAGAGGGGCGGGGCGTCGCATGATTGCGCGCTGGAGAGTGCAAGGCGGTGCTTAAGACATCTCTGCCCGCCCCGTCCCCCTACTTGCCTTGCGCGAACGAACGGAAGCGCCCTCCCTCCGCCTCTGGCCCCCTCCCTCCTCCAGCCGCTTTTTCTTTCTGCCGTCAGTGCCGCGTTAGCAACAGCCTCGTCGCCAGTGGCCGGAGCTCCTCCTCTTTCGCCTTCTCCTGGCATCCCCGTCTCGTTCTCTCTCCGGCTGCTCCGCGCCCTGTATGGTCCATCGCCGCCGCCCTGCTCCGGCACCACCTCCGCCGCCGCCTCCTCCTCCTTCTCCAGTTCCCTCCGGCTTAGCTCCTCCTGCCCCCGGCGGTGGCGCCCTCAGCACCGAGGCTGTATGATCAGGCTACAGTCTTCAATGAGTAACCATATTCCTGTGAGTAGCGGCCTCTTCTTTCGGGTCTTTGCCAGCCCTGTGCTTCCGTCTCCCTCCCTCCTCTCCATGTTTGCGTGTTTGCTCCCTGGGTCTCCGCGCCAGCCGTTCCCAAGCGCGGAAGGACTAGAGGGCAGGCAGACGAGCCCGACCCGGCTCTCCTTCCGCCGTCCTGCGTTGTAAACTTCAGTGGTCGTTGGCCGGCCGTTCCTCCTCCCGTGTGGCTGCCCCGCCTGGCTCCCTTTTCCTTCCACTCCAGCGGCTAGAAGCCGCCGCTGGCCGGCTCGGTCTGCGGGCCTGGCTGTAGTCGGAGATGTGGGACGTGGCAAGCGAGGAGACGAGGACGCCGGCGGGGGTAGCAGGGAGTGTCTGGGCGGGAGGAGACGCCGCTGTCTGGAGAAAGAATTGGCAGCCCCACCGCCAGGAAGGCTTGAGAAAAAGCCCCAGTCCATGCCGGCCTTAGGAACTGGTGCTGGGGAAGGGAGGGGGGCTGGCTATGTAGCTCTCCCACCCCACCCCCACACTCGCAGCTTGGGGGGGGGAGCGCCGCAACCGGGCCGAGCACGTGGTCACTACGAGAAGTGCTCCAGCCCTGCCCTGCATTTCGGACCTGGCCTTTCCCCCCTCTCTCTCTCTCTCTCTCTCTCTCTCTCCCTCCCTCCCTCCCCGGTTCCCCGACAGCGGCGAACAATGTAAGGAGGTAAGAACAAACCTGGTCTGAATGAAAGCACTCCTTCCCCTCACCCCCTCTGTCTGCCCGAGTTTCGGATTCCTTTGTGTGTTCATTCGGAGCAGTAAGTCGGCGCTTAAACCGGGTTTGAACTGCTTTTAATCGACAAAGCCGGAGGGGAGAGATGTGGACTCGACAGATACCAGTATATATGTGTGTGCTGGGAAGAGGGGGTTCTTCCAGACGTTTTGATGAGCTTGAACGTGAATAGGAGGCGGAGAAAGAGAGAAGGGGAAAAAAAATGTCTCGTGGCTGCCTATTTGAAAAGCTTTGGGAGTGTGGAAGTTGGTAGCGGAGGGGAATTCTGAGTTTTGTGCCCCTGAGAGTCGGGCTGCATCTTTGGCTCCTGCCTAATCCTACGGCCAACCCTGTCCTGGGTGGTCCCCGGGTCGCTGTCCTTTTGTACCATTCACGTGGTGCTGGATAGCCTCGATCGCCTTTGGCCCGGGTTGATGCGCTAAACGCTTTGGCCACGCGTGAGTGAAGAAAGGTTCCGGAGGAAAGGAGGTGGGAGCAGAGTAATCTTCCACTTGGGAAACAAGTTGAGACTTGTTCGCGCCGTTGCCTGGCCGGCGGCCGCCCTACTCGCCTCCCGCGTGTGGTAGAGAGCTTGAGGGCTATTGCGCTACCGCCGTGTGAGTCACGAAGCGGGGGCGGGAGGGGGGGCGGAGGACCTTTGGCGGGCTGAGCCGGCGGCGTGGTCTCTTTCCCTTCACGCGCCTCCTGCCTGCAGATAACGGGTCGCTCCTTCCATTCATGAACTGCTGCCTGGCGCGCTAGCCTTCCTCAATAGCGGAAGGCAGCGGGGTGATGGGAGGGGACGATAAAGACTTGGGCCAGTTCTTCCCAAATTGATGGGATGTCAATCTGTTAAAATACAACAAAGTATCTAGGCCGCGTTACAAAATTCGATGAAATATGGAAGGAAAAAGCAGTTTAAAACCTCCCCTCCTGCCTGTGATGGGAACGACAGCTTTGTTTCCAAGGATTGTTAATCGCTTCAGCATTTTAATCTTGCCTTATGGAATTACTTCCTTTGGTGACAGGTGAGAAACAGGAAAGGGCAGTGAGGTACTTTATTAATGTGTATTAGAGTAACAAGTATTACTGAGTCAGATTATTGTATTTTCTTCCGGTAAGATGCAAGTCATAATAGGCTGTCATTTAAAGGATATTTCAGTCTTCTCAAAATATTTTTTCCTGGGTTAAGTTTGAACTGGGAGTTCAGATCTTCTACAATTCAATGCTCAGCCACTTGACATTAATTCAGGAGGCTATATCTTAAGAATTGTAAAAGCCTTATGCTGATATTTCAATCTTTGTTGACATTTTATCACTTAGCAAAAGATTATAGCAATCCCATAATTAGTCTATAGGAATAAAGAATTAGCTGCAATCTAATTATTTCACAAGTTACAATATTTCTTAATGTTATATAGGTTGGCAATTCCAAAAGTCTCTGAAATGTAACTTGATTTCAGTGTTACCCACACTTTTAATAAAGGAGGAGATAATATACTTCATAACTGCAAAACATTTGGCAGCAATATGTTCTGTTTTTAATCCTTGTTAGTCTGTTTCTCTTCTTTTTTTTCCTTAAATGTTTTGTATACTTTTCTGAAACTCTTGGGCCTATAGCTGCTCCTTATTTCTCTGTGCTATTTTGAGCATTAATTCGGGACCCTTTCAGCCCTGTGGTATAATTATTATGCAGGCATCTTTCATGCAGATTGCTGCAGTACCTTTTGAAGTTTAGAGGCATACAGTATTACAATAGTATGCATCTGGAAAATGTTTATAGTATTTTGTGCAGGATTTGAGTTGGCCAAAAGAGCAGCTTATCTGAGACTTGACTACCTTGGAAACATGACACTAGCTTTCTACAGTGAATATGCTCTAAGTTTCAAACCAGTTGGTTGCTGTTCTCTAAAATAAATATGGGATTTATTCCTGGAGCAGCCTCCTCCTGTCAAATGCTGTGTAAGCATATGCAGTCTAATGAAGTTCAAATGAAATACGCCACTCGGCCTTTTATAAATGTAAGAGTACTGATGATGATTAGAATATTTTGTAAAAACCAAAGAACAGAAACACTTAAAACCTGCTTGGTTTTTTAAAGAACTGGATTTGTGCAAATAGTGATCATTCTTAAACTGTTGGAGCAACATGTTAAGTGAAAGGTTAAATTCGCACTGATTAAAGTAAGGTTCTACATTTAGGCAAGAAAAATCAAATACACAGGTACGATATAAGTGCTACCTTGCTCAGTAGTAGTAACTGAGAGGGATTTTGGAATCCTAGTGGACAATCTCTTAAATATGAGCCAGCAGTGTGTTGCAGCTGCCAAAAAAGCCAACACAGTGTTAGGCTGCAGTAACAGGGATAGAATCAAGATCACGTGAAGTGTTAATATCACTTTATAATGCCTTGGTAAGGCCACACTTGGAATATTGCATCCAGTTTTGATCACCATGATGTAAAAAAGATGTAGAAAGAATACAGAGAAGAACAACAAAGATGATTGGGGGACTGGAGGCTAAAACATGTAAAGAAAGGTTGCTGGAATTGGGTATGTCTAGTTTAATGAAGAGAAGGACTAGGGGTGATATATATATATACATAATACATACACACACACACACACACACACACACACACACACACACACACACACACACACACACCAGGTCCACAGTGATGACATGTAGGTTTCTATTCTGATTCTTCCTGCTTGGATTTCAGGAAAAAAAACTGGTGCTTTGTTAAATATACCTTTAAAGCAAGGAATTTGCTTGCTTTTATCTAAGTTATAGAGAAATAATGTGGCTGAATACAACAGTGACCTGTTACATTATTCTGTTCTTTTATTTAGGTTTAACATTTTTAATTTTATGCGAAGACATAAACTGCTCAACAATATTTTGTTGCATGAAAATATTTCTGAAGAATTCTGTTTCCCATCAACTTTAATTCATTTATATTCCACCTTTATTTATATAAATAAATTAAGACGGTGGACATGCCTAATAGTCCTTCATCTTCCCATAATAACAACCCTGTGAGGTAGGTTAGCATGAGAGAGTGACTGACCCAAAGTCACCCGGATGGTTTTCATACTTAAAGTGGGATTAGAACTCATGGTCTACAAATTTCTAGCCTAGTACCTTAACCACTAGATCAAACTGGCTTTATAGTCACTTTTATTATATTTTTATTGTAACAGAAATGACAGCAGTTTGAAAGAGGAGTAGCACAAGTCCCCATTTGGAATGAGTTAGTGACTGGGCCAAAGTTGCTAGAAGAGCTTTATTCCAAAGCTTGGAAATTAAAACTACATCTTGCTCAAAAGTCTAGAACTGTGGAGCGCTCTGTACAAAAAGAATGAGTCAATTACATTAGTAAAATGCTGGTCTGGTTTAAATATATCAACTTTAAATATGTGCAACTCAAATACTTAAAATAAGAGATTTTTTTTCCCTTCCAGAACATTCTAAGTTGTATATCTGAAACATGGTACCTTTGCTTATAGTCATTTTTAACTCTTTAGTCTGCAGTACCTCACTATCATTCAAATTGAAGATATTCTTACTGTACTTCTCACTTGTATTTGTGAGAGTAATATGTCAGCTGCCAATTTTAAATATAAATTTTAACATGAACTAATGTCCTTGAGTGTTTATCAAGGCTTCCTCCTAATAAATTTGATTTATAGTTTGACCTTATACTTTAGCTGCTTTTGATTGCTAAATTAATGTGTGAAACATCTTTATTACTTTGATTCTATGTGCACTGGCATCCCTAGTAAGCTAAAATGTG